GGAGAGTCCGGACTCTGGGAGTTGGTCCGGACCCAGTCCGGAGGGATTTTTCCTAAAAAAAACTATTTTGTTAGGGTCCGGACCTGAAGGGAGATGGTTCGGACCTGGGTCCAGTTCCATGGTCCGGTTCATGCAGACAGCACCGTAAATAGTGACAGTTGAGATCTAATGGACGCGCTTAAACGTGGGACACGTGACGTTATCTTGGGGTTCGGACTTTCATTGTAGATGGCCCAAAACCTGGGTCCGGACCTTCCGAGGACATAACGGCTGTAACTTTTTGGGTTCTATTAATAAAGAGTCTGGGCGTGCTTGTGTTCACTCTCTTGGTCATTTTTACATGTGATAACATTCTTTGAGCTGAGCAAATACCCTCCCACTCATCTTCTTGCTTGATAGTGCAAATCAAAGTGAGATTAAGTGATTCCAATTGCATTTGCTTGAGTGATTGTATCTAATGGCATTTGATGACCGATTTGCTGTGGTTTTCTTGTTACTCTTGACGTTTGCCGACGCCTAGACGGCTTGGAGCAGTGGAGGAGTTGTGACAAGAGTTGGTGATTGTTCTTGTCCACGTCACGGTGATTTGTGAGGGGTTCTCGTGCCTTTTCTCGATGGAGTGTCAAAGGCAACTCTAGTGGATTGTGCGTAGCTTGTGTGATCGCATCTTGTGTTGGTTGTGCGGCACCCAATTACGGGTTAGGCGTGTGATGCCTATTAGCACGTGAACCTCCAAGTGAGTGAATCGCCACAACGGGGACTAGCTTGCCGCCAAGCAAGTGAACCTCGGAGGAAAAAATCTTGTGTCATCTTGTCTCCGATGATTTCTTTGGTGTTCATTGATATATTGTGATTGATCACTTGCCACGATAGTATAACCCTCCTACCTCTCTTGCATTTACTTTCTAGTGTAGTTAAGCTCTTTAGTGTAACTAATTTTGAGAGCTAGCTTGTGTCTTAGTTTGGATAGTGAGGCTCTTTAGTTAGTCTTTGAGAGCTCACTAACTTAGAGAGTAGTGACTTAGCCTTTGTGTGAAATAGAGATTATAGCAACTAGAATTGTAGATATGAGGCTTGCATTTTTAGTAGGCTAGCGCAACACTTGCTTCGCCTCATATTTGTCTAACCATTTGGCTTAGTGTCATTGTAGATTTTTTAATAGGCCATTCACTCCCTCTAGCCATTAGGACCTTTCACATGCTACATGCCCCACGAGTATGCGCGCTTCGCTTGCACAGGCAGGACCACCCTGTGTCACTCTCTTCCCGCGCGAATGCCCGCCTGTGCCCGTTTCGCTTTCGGACCGCTTGCGCCCATGTGGGTCCCAGTCACCTGCCCCGCCTGTGGATGCGCGTCGCAAATGCGTCTGCCGGCCTCAGGTGCTTGCAGGGTGACCCATGGCGTTGTTCAACAGCTGCAGCAGGCGGCTACGACAAGTGGGTCCCATTACAACATATGCAATACCAGATCTACTTTTATAACATTCAGATGAAACATTTGCAACATACGTCCAAAACAATTGAAACACTTCTAACATATGTCTGAAACACCAGGAAAACACATGTGTAGCCATTACAAATATATGTAACATCCATTGAAACATACACTTGCAACATACTTGTATATGAAACATCTAGATCTAATTTGCAACATCTAGATAAAATAATTGCAACATACGTCTGAAACAGATGAAATATTTGGAACATACACTTCAAACATACGTGTATATATAGCCATTGCAATATGTGCAACATCCCGATCTACTTTTACAACACCGATATAAAACAGTTGCAACATACCTCTAGAACACTTCAACCATACGTTTGCAACATGTGCTTTCAGCGCAACATCTCCTTGCTGCTTGGGAACGGAGACGCGTCGGCGCGTGGAGTTCACCGGTATAGAGCTCGGCGGTGGCGCGGAGCTCGCTGCTCCGGTGGTGAAGGCCGCGGTGGGTTGCTCTGGTGGAGAAGGCGGACCGCGCGCTGGAAAAGGGTGCGAGACGAAGTGGGGCGCGCGCGGGGGATGAAGCGTGGCATGGTGGCGGTGGCGGCGCAACGCATCAGGGAGGCAGCGGCTACTAGACTGGGAGAGGGCAGCCGTGCACCGCGCCTTGCAGGGCCGCCAATCGAGCACCGTGACTCAAGGCGGCCATGCGCTGCGCTTGGCATGGCCAATGGTCGAGCGCTCCTCCTTGGAGGTGCAGCGGTGGGCAACACAGAGATGAAGTGGCGCAGCGAGCGACTCTTTGTGATTGAGAACGAGCGAGTGAATTGGTGTGTGAACCTGTATAGAGAAACCACACGATTAAATCTGATAACGAGTTAATGCGTCCGATGAAAAGCACTGTCTGAAGTGCGGACGTTCTATCCCAATTATTTCCATTTTTTAATCTACACTAGCCGGGGATTAATTATAACAAATCATAATTTGGCAGCCACGGGAACCGGAGTCATGGATTATGACGCTACATAGATACTTGAGATCATTTTTTGTTGTTGTCCGTGTCGCTGTACCGGTTCTAGTGATTATATTGATCCTCGTTAGAATATCTATTGTTTGATTGACAGAAAGTAGATTGGATGATGGTGACGTCTAATTATCTAATTCTTCATAATTGCACCACTTGCTATGGTTTGGAATTATTACCAACTAGGTTCTCTCCATTCAACAGATCCAGATCCTCCTTCTTGAAGGCGTCGCCGCAGTTTCTATTCCTTGCGTCGACGGGGCAGATTTTAGACGAAAGTCCGGGTGCGCTTCTCCCAACATTGTTGACATCTCTGCGGATGTCTTTCCCTTCTTGAAGGCTCTGTTGGAGCACCTCTGCTGCCGTCTCGCTCCTCCCGCCGGAGTGCATCCTTGATGTGCTGTGCCTGTTTGTGCTTCGTGCTACTCTTCGCTTTGGTTTGTCCAGTAGTGGGTTGGTGTTGCCGCAGTCGATTGCTTCTCTGTAGCGGATGCTTTGCCGCTATCGGCCCTCTTGGACAGATGCTTCACCGTCATGTTGCTTGGGCGGTTGCCTTGCCGCCGGTGTAACCCCGGTCTCCGCTCTCTGGCAGATGCTTGGCTGCTGTGAGCGTGATGGCCCCTCATCCGCCGATGCTTTGCCGCGTTGATGTTCGTCGTCTCTGGCGGATGCTTTGCCTCCATGGTCCCTTCTCTAGCGGATGCTTGGCCGCTGTTGTCTTACTAGGCGCCCTTGGTGGATGCTTTGCCGTCGAGGTTGATTGCTACTTCCTCGGGCGGATCTCTGCCGCTTACGCTGCTGGAAGCTTGCTCCGTCGACTCTACGGTTCCACTACACTACTGGCTACCACTGTGTTGTATTCTTGTATCAGGCTCAGTTGGTTGGGGTTTCGTGGTGGAGGTCCCCCTCGTGTTTTTCTTGCTGTCCGTGTGTTCCTATGGGATTTCGTTGGTAATCCAGGGGTTACTTGCGAGTCCTTTGTATCACATTTCTAACTTCTCTTAATAAAACACGTGCCAAGCATGCTCTCGAAAAAAGACCCTCATCATCACGGTCCTCACTCTTGAGTCGAGAGTTCAGACACCATCCATGGCTCTATGCCATGCCCATGAGGCCATGAGGGCATCCCTCCGTGGCTCAGATGATCTTCGCCGGCAACCGGGCTCGAGGAGGGCCCATACGCATACGCCCCTCTTTTGGATTCGTGGGGGAGAATGGCAATTGCAATGGCAAAGAAGAATTTTTTGTAAGGAGCCAAGGAGGGCATCGCGCCAGACCAACACTCCAACAGGCCCCCATCTTGGGGCTGTTACGGTTCGCTGATCAAACGCTAAGAACACGTCGGCCGACAGCGCGCGCCCACGCGGGATCCCTCGCGCCGGAAATAATTAGCACAAACAAGGCCCTACCCCACCCACGCCGCAAGACTTGCGCCAAAGAATTCAGCCCCATCTTAGCTGGCAACGGGCAAGCATGAGTTTCTCAAAAAAAAAAAAACTGGCAAGCAGGTCGATTGAGGACGCCTGCAGCACCAACTTTGACCAGATACAACGTTTCGAAGGGGTCCCTATTCGCTTGAACTTATCAGTCTGGCTTATCAGTCATGATTCAACGTTTTTCTCTTAAAATAAAATAGTATCAACCGACTTATCAACCGTAAAAACTATCAGCCGAATAGCTCACAAATCTGATATAATTTTTGTCCTGCCGTCTGTCAACCTGTATCAATCAGGTTGGTTGTCTGATCTACTAGGTGAAAATTGTCGGGGAACGCGTGACATTGTGGTACAAAGATATTTCATAATATTTCATATTTTTTCAATTAAAATTTGAGCTTTGGTAAGAACAATTACATCGAATAAAACTGAAATTCATGGGTAGCCTAATCTGTTCATTTGTTCTTTAGTCATGTTGCGATTCAATCGAGATGGACGATGCGTTAAGGGATCTGGTTCGGCCAATTCATAAGCCGCATTCAAATCTTAAATCATTCATAAAAAGTTTTCAAGGCACCAATCAGGCAAACAGTTCGACTTTCTTGGAAGTTTAAGCTTCCAAAGGAATTCATAGAAATATAGAATAAATTTGAGTCTTCAAGGAGGTTTATGTTTGTAAACTTCAAAAGGAATTCATAGAAGCAAAAATTCAAGAAGTCAAGAGCAAGACACGAGGGGCGTTGGGTGCTCACTCACTATCATATTACCGGTGTCCATTCCGTTCTTTTTCTCTCTCTAGAAAAGAACATTTTTTTGAAGGAATAGGATAGAACATTTTCATGTACTATGCTGAACTTTAATAAAATATATAAATATAGCTACCTAAAATTAATTATATATATGATTTATTTACATATAATTTCAGTCATAATCATTCTAAATATATGCAAAGTTAAAAGAAAGTTAGAATATAGTTGAACAACATATCACGGCTCTGCTGGGCAGGACTTATGAATAAAGTTCAACAACATATTATAAAAGAAAAAACCTTGGGCTGATCGTGGCTTATAAGTTCTGGCAGCGCCAGCTCACAGTCACAGACGGGATGCCGCCGCCGTCGACGTCGCCATCCCCAGGTTCGCTGCCGGCTTCAGCAAAGGGTCGGATTCAACCACCTCCATGAGCCGCGGCCACATCCTGGTGGCGCCGAAGAACCACGACCCGTCGCCGCTGGGGTTGGGCACCACCGTCACGGACGCGGACCCCAGCCGGCCGTGGCGTATCCACGGCATCACGAGGCTGGGCTTCCCGAACCCGAGGTCCCCGTCGATGGCGAACGGGAGCAGCCCGGAGATGATGAGCGCGGGGCTCCCGAGCCCCAGGTTCACCGCCTCCGTCCACTTGCCGCCGTCCCTGAACGCCGCCTTCCGCTCCTCCATCCAGTCCGCCAGCTCCTGGAACCGCGCCGCGGTCATGACCCCCGCGATGGCCTCGCGCACCGTGGCCGCCACCTCGTGGAGCGGCGCGCGCAGCAGCTCCGCCACGCTGACCTCGCGGGCCGTGTACGTCACCACGTTCCCGATGTAGCGGTCCAGCGCGCCGTCCCACGGCTCCACCTGTTTCCGCCCGTCGACTATCCACGCCATCCGGCAGCTCGGGTTGGCGTCGCCGACGGCGCGCGCTAGGAGCTTCCACACGTGCGCGCACAGCGCCACGAACCGCGACGCGCGGCGGCCCCCGCCGCCGGGAGACGACGCCGAGGCCTGCAACGCCGCGAGGTCGGCCGCTTCGATGCGGTACAGCCGCCGCCGGATGGTCGCGGTTAGGAGGGGGTTGATCATCGTCTCCGGCGTGAACCGGGCGAACTCGGCGTCCAGCAACGCGCTGTACCGCGGCGGCGACCGCGGCTTGAACAGGGACCGGTCGAGTAGGGGCTCGCGGGAGAGGCCGCCGTCACGGATCATCTCGGCGAGCGCGGTCAGCAGGAAGGCGAACGCCCGGCCGTCCGCGAGGAGGTGGCTCGTGGCCAGCGTCAGCGCGAACCCGCCGCACGCGAACCGGACCAGCTGCACTGACAAGGCGAGGCTCGCGTCGAAGGGTATCTGGATGAGCCCCAGCGACTGGTCGACCTCCGAGAAGTCAACGGCCGCGAGCGGCACCGCGGCGTCGGCGACGACGAGCTCGGCGCCGGCGTTGTTGCAAGCGACCTCGGGGATCTTGGTCTCCGGGTCGAGCACGACGCGGCCGGCGAAGGGGAAGAGGCGGGAGAGGTAGGACGGCAAGGTGGCGCGCACGGTGGCGAGGACCGCGTCCAGGCCAGCGGCGGGGGCGGCGTAGATTGAGACGAGGAAGATGGGGAACGGCCCGAGGACGAGGTCGAGGTTGGAGACGGTGAGGACGGAGGGGAAGCCAGGCGGCGGGTGCGAGGCACGGACCAGCGTCCGGGAGGCCATCTCGAGGTGGAGGTGCCTGACCGCCATTTCGCCGAGCAGGAAGAGCGCGTGGCGTCGGGGACCTTGGACGGGGATGGATCTGTATCTGTCTACCGAAGCGCGATGCTGACCTGGCGCCGACAACAAGGCAACTCTTCGAAGTTATATGGTGTGTGTGATGCACTTTTGCTATAGGTCGGACGCAAATAGCAATTGGTGGATACATAAGAAAGTCTTCTAGCAGTATGTGCGCGAAGTCCGCAGGTGTTAGCACGGTGTTCTCCCTCCTCCGCGGCCAATAAAATCTCATCAAGACTAGCTATTTACAAACCGTTGTACGCCCTTAGAGGATGAGAATGAGATTAGTTTAACACGAATTTAAATGGAAAAAGTTACCCTCGTTCAATGGGTGGCTATGGTGACAGAGATAGCAACTGCCCATCCCAAAATTCTCATAGGGAATTCTTTGTTAGGGAATGATGATAGAGATGGTTTAGTCCTCCGTGGAGAATAAAATGCGAAAAACAATCCTCATCGGGTTTTATGCCGTCCTAGTTGCCCTCAAACCGCCTCGCAAAGCACAATCCTTATGAGGGCCTTAGCCTCTTAGAAGCCCTATACTCCGTCTCTCAATTCCTACATCACCTATGGACACACCCGCCGTCACAAACCTGTAGTTGCTTGCAGCCGGCCCACACGTGTTCTCGACACCACAAAGCCACCGGCCACTGCAAGCTCTGCACTAGAGATGGAAACGGGCCCCAATCCCCGGTGGGGATTTCATCTCATTAGGGGACATGGATGAGAAAATTTTGATCCCTGCGGGAGGCTTAACAGACCAAAAGGGGTCCCACGGGATGAGGCAGGGCTAGGAATGTTCCCTTCGTCCTCGTCCTCGTCCTCGTCCTCGATCCTGTTTCGTTATGACTAGCATGCAAGGCTAGGCCCAATAATTTAGTGGCCCAATTCGAAGCCCAACTATGAAGTATAAAAGGAAAGTTTTCCTGGTAACCCTAGCTTCAATTCCTTCCTACCTCCCGGCCGTCACCGAGCGACAAAACAGATGCGACGGCGCTTGTCCGGTCCTCCTTTCCCTCGACGCAACTTGTGAATCGCGAGCGAGGAGCGACCAACCACCAACGAGACTAGGGAAAGGAGGATCGAGTGAGCGGCAGCCGTCACCTGAGCGGCAGAATAGGCACGGCCACCGCTCACTCGGTCCTCCTTTCCCTCGATTCGACTCGTGAATCGTGTACGAGGAGTCGAGGAGCTACCAAACCACCAGCTATATTGCGAGGCGGAGAGAGAGAGACTCATTGCAACCTACAAGAGAGCGCTCTCATGGCATCGCCGTCAAGATCTACAGCCGGCATGGAAGATGGCCGATGAAGACCTTCTTCCTCCTCTAGTTCTTAATCCCAACTTGCAGCTCCTTCATCTCTCCTAGCAGCTCGTCGTTTACTAACTACTAACCCCATTCCCCATGTGACCGTCCCTCCTCAAGGGATGCCAAAGCATCTGACTGTCCCACCACCGGATCCAGCTCCGGCACCAATGGATCCCACCATCGATGCACTGGAACCAAACAAGACCGCCACCGCCGCACCGGTGCCAGTCACTATTGCTGCTCAAGCTCGACATCCAACCACCGGATCCAAGCTAGCCGCCACTGCTGGACGTCGATCAAGTCGACCTACTATTAGATCCAAGGTTGAGAAGAAAAAAGCTCCACCAGCATCATCCACTAAAGCCATCATTGCTGTAGGTGACTCGAAGCTCGTTCCCCAACCACCACTGTCCAAAGGATCTAGCCTGAAGCGCCCCTACTTGAAGACAGCTCCAACCGACAAGCATAGGTTAGTACTTACTACATTTACATTACATCTTTTTATTGTTGGCATGTTGTCGTAGGCAGGGGTTTACAGTAGCTTTTGATCTAGGGATTCAAGATAGTAGGCATGTTGTAGACTGTAGTACTAATTATGCTATGTTGTAGTAGGTAGTGCTAAGCAATTTATGCTATAGTTTCCTTGTTAAATCATTTTTGTATATTGTCTTGCGGCGATTAATTGGGGATGGGGTCCCCATCGGGGATGATATCCCCCTTTGGGGACCGAGGACGAGGAGCGAGAGATTTATGTGTTGCGGGGATCAAAACAACCGTCAAAACCTGACGGGGATAGCCCCATTGCCGTATCTACTTTGCACTGCCTCTGCGGCCCCCCACGGGAAGTCTGAACTCTGCTACTCAGGCGGCGCTGTGGTGGACGGTGCCTCCGCCACTATATTCGCATGGGCACATGAGGTTGGGAGCTTCAGATTCGGTGTTGAGACGATGCCTCTATGTCTGTATCGCCATGAATTCGTCTTCCCCATCAGTGGCCACACCCTTTAGCCAATGGTGACAAAGAAATGATTCATCTTCCCCATCTATTTGGTATGTTGGCTATTGCTTAGTTTCACACGAGGATGAGGGTAGAAAGAGCCTTTTAGCTATGAAAATCACGTTCTTTTGTTGACTTTATTTTTGAAATTAGTCTATTAGCTAATTGTATTAGTGTTGACTTTGCCCATTGTAAAAATCACGTTAGAAAGAGCCTTTGAGCTATGAAAAAAAATCAAGAATGACTTCACAATTAATATTGGGATTGATTGGTTGAATCATAGGGTAGTATGTATATTGAGCGAGACATTTTGCAAGCGCTAAATATGAAGATGTTTTTATACCATTTTCAAGAAATGGAGAGTCATTTGAAAAAGCTTCCTCCATTTACTCTAACCAGAGCAAGTGGTATATTAAGAACCAATTGTCATTTTTATTCATTAATTAATTATATATATATATTCATATTGCACCCTTCATTTGTTTGAAATGCCCATATGTAGGTTTAGGATCACGTGCTAATGCTGATGAAGATGTCATAATCAAGGAGGAAACATATCAGATTTGATTAGGTATTTATTTTGTCACTACTACATAAATGATTTCGCGAGACACTGCCCAATCATTAATGGAGACAGTCATAAAATTTACGTATTTTTAAAAATATCTGAGGAATTTCGGAGGCGGTCATTTTATTCATGGAGACGGTCGCAAAATGCTCATCTCCCAAATAGATTTATAGAGGTGGTAAAAACAGTCCATCTCTCAAAAGACATTAACAAAGATGTGCCCCTTAAAAAAATAATTCGTCTCACATAAGACATTAACAGAGATGGGCCTCCTTAAGAGGCCAATAGAGGCCATTTCGGATATGGACCTCTTAAGATGCCCGTATCAGAAAAAAGGCCTGAGGCCCAAGAGGCCCATTACCTGTGTTTAGGTATATATACGTGAGTTAGGGTTTGGATGCTCCTTAGCTCTCTCTCTCTCAACCGTCTCTCTCAACTCTCTTAGATCTCTCATCTCTCTTAGCGTGGGGGCGGCACCAGCGGCGACTTCAGCAGTGTCTCGGAGAGGCTTTGGCGGCCGTGCGAGGCTTTCTAGCGGCGGCCACCACGCCTCCCCTGCGGTGGTGGACCCGTGGGAGGCGGCTATGGCAGCGGTTGCATGTGCAGGGCCCTCCTAGTGCCGGTGGATCTCGGCGGTAACCAAACACACAATAAGTTGCAATACTGAATGAATTCAAGATATTGCCCTAGCACGCATTATTATAGCAAGCACACATTTCCAAATTGTGTATAGAACGTTTTTTCTAGAAAATATTGGTTCACATATAGTGGAAGCATCAAGTTATTTTTATCATGTTTTTTTTTCATAAAACCCAAAAATACTGATGATGATCAAATAGTTAAGTGGGGCCTCAAATCTTGTTCCCCTGCAAGAGAACGCCCGCGAGTGGGCCAGAGGGTGGTTTCACACTAATCCTCTTTCCTTTCTTTGCTTCCATTTTCTGTATATATATTTATAGATTGATTTTTTTAGTTATAACTATTTTTAGTACAACAATTTGAAATAGATTGAATTTAAGTTGTTATCCGTCCACAAACATTTCAGAATTTTTAAGTATATATTTATTTATATGACTTTGAATGAATATATTTTCTTATGAATCAAAATATAGTCTACTAATAAAATGGTCTCATAAAGTGATTCCGGTTTATCATCACACATACCCAGACCGTGAAATTTTGAGATTGATGACGCTCGTATACACGATACACATGAGCATTTTAAACACATGCAAGTATATCCAGTCCTATGGGTATTTTCTAGAGACCAAGATAGACCAGCAAATCTCGAGTTTGATGAAATAACCTCCACACGTGACTCGCTGTTGATGAACAATCGCTTCAGAGAAATCGAACTAGACAGACCAATCTCAAGTTTGATGAAGTCACGCACATCCACATGTGCATCATCACTGTCGATGGGCGCATCTTCTAACACAGAAAGAACGACGCTGTTAAATCAAAGGCATCTTGCCATCTTGGTTGCGCACTTGAGAGAGAAGAATCGTATTGAATAGAGGAAGCGTGGTTCCTCCTTACCCTGACATGCATGTTCATGCAAATTTGCTTAAAACTGTGCTATATCTGTACGTCGAAAACTTGTTTGTCGTCCATCCATTTCATTCGCGAAACGGCTCTTCTGGACGCTGTGGAAACCAGAGCTGGCCAAGTCACCCAGAACGCAGAACGCTCACGAACCAAACCACGTCACGCGGCCCACCTGGTCTCCTCCCATTGGCCCGTGCGTCCCAAACGCGCCGTCCACCCTCCGATCACATGACGTGGACGAACGGACGGCGCAGAACTCCCACGCCACATAGGCACGCGCGCCGGCCCGAACCGAACCGAACCAACCACCCCCGCTTCAAGTTCGGCTGCTGCAAGAGCAGAGCAGCAGCGAGCCCAACCAGTGAGGGGAGACATGGCGAGACGCGCCGTCGCCTTGCTCGTCGCCGTCGCGCTCGCGGCCGTCCTCCTTTACCCCGTCGCGGCTGCGGCTGCGGCGGGGCAGAAGAAGCCGGCGACGGCCGCGAGGCGGGAGGACATCCCCTACATCCGGTGCCAGGTGTGCGAGCGGATCGCGCGCGAGATCTCCG